GCAAGGCTGATATGTCAAGCAAATCAAAAGTAAAGCAGCTTGGCCAAGTGGCTATCAGGAGCTGAGGTGCGGCACCGCTTTGGGGGGCATCTGCGCTGGGATTCATCGCCAGGCCTAGCTCTGAACGCCAAAACGCATCTGTTTTGTCCTTGCGTGATGTAACGCTCCGCTTCACGAGGTCACATGCGTTTTCATTGCTATTTGCTATCTGCTACCCAGGCAGGCAATTCATCAGTTGAAGCAACCTTTTTTTGTATGCTTTTTGTTTCCCCGACTGTCCCTATCTATTATTGTTTGTATTATTGTTTCATTGTTAAAGTATTGTATTATTTTCTCCAAGCAGCCAGTATTAAAGCAGCTCAATGATTCTGTGCACTCCTGCATGCCAAATGACCTGCGGACGCGCCCGCTCGACTTCACGCTGTGGCGTTTCGCAGTAGCGGGGGCATCCCGCTGGCCGGTTCTCACAGCAGCCAATCTGGCGTCCGTCAAAGCCCGCCCGCGATTTTTCACACGCATAATGTTTATCTATCCCACCAGCACTCCTGGCTCTTGAAAAGGTCAGACCCTTTGTTTGCGCGGCTCGCCAATGGGCTTCACATTTTGGGCATGATAATCAAGCCGCTTCAGCTCCCGATCAAATTTCGCCCGCCCGTGAATTCTACGCACATACGTCTCAAGCCCGCGTTCTCGGCTTTCGAGAGCTGACCTTTGCGCGGCCGGCCGTGGCCTTCGCATTTTGGAGATGTACGGAGTTTTTATTCGGCAGTCGTACCTGCATATCGTTTGCTTGAGAGCTGCTTAATGAGCAGCTTGCGTATTTCATAGAGAAATGTAAGCAAATTTGTCGGCCTGCTGGTGGCAAGTCGGAATGCCAAATGGTAACACAAGCTGGGTGTTCAAGTTATCATACGCTTTCATCTCGGAAATCAATGATGAGATACACGGCACCTTTTTGAAATGAAATTTAGCCCGAGAGGCGTTGATGTGACTTTGGCCTCGGTCAATTGAGGCAGCCAAAGTTGTTTGTGCTCATACGATTTTTGTTGGCTACAGGCGAGATACCTTGCTATAGAGAATGATATATAGTACCTATAACGCGTTTCAGCCGGGCGAGATATTATATTTGGTCCGTTACACACACACGCACACACGCACACACGCACACACACACGGACATGGGCAATCCTACAGGTCGGGGCCCCCCTGGGCGCTTCGCGCTGGGCCCCGCCCAAAAAGGCCCTACACGCTGCTCAGCAACGACAGGCTCAGCATGCCAACAAGCATCGCCGACCAGCCCACTTCCAAGTCGGGCAGTACGTCCTGCTAAACTCTAAGAACATAATGTTCAAGGCACCTAATGCCAACGGACGCGGCAAGTTCATGCCACGGTTCATTGGACCTTTTCCCATCCTAAGCATGGTGGGCGAGTCTGCAGTCCACCTGCAACTCCCGGAGGCATTGCGCATGCACAATGTCTTCCACGTGTCCCTGCTGCGACAGTTTAAACAAAGCAGCAACGCACCACCTCCACCAGTGGTCCCTGCAGTGGAAGGCGACCCTATGTGGTTCGCCGAAGAAATCCACGCACACCGTGCGAGCGGCTCTGGCCGTCACCACCTCGTCGAGTACTTGGTCCGCTGGCAGAACCACGGCCCCCAGTACGACTCCTGGGAGATGGCCCAAGCTCCTTCATAGTATGGAGATGGTAGAATCTTCAAGCAACTTTTGAACGACCAGGGAGAGTTGCTGATAGGCGAATTTGTATGAAGCTATAAAATTCCTTTATTCCTTCAAGGTAAGTGAATGCTTATGTATTCGTCTGTTAGTAGCGTGAAGCTTTGAACACTCTTTGTACGGCAGATTCGGCACAATGTTTTGCCTCATTGCGATGTTGCCTGAAAATTTTAAACAGAAGGGATCACTGCTCATGCTGGTGCAGCAAGACATGTAAGGAGATGGCCTGGTCACAATCCAGCAGTCATATATCGACAATCTCAAGCTATGACAACTTGTTACATGTGTCTGTAATAAAAAAGGGACTTTGCGATGGTGTGGGGAGCTCTTTGAGTGGTGGGACTGTGGAAATCCAGTTTGTTTCGCCCGTAACAAGTTTGTTACGGGCGAAACAACGTCCCTCTGAAACGTTTGGATATGCCTATGCAACACATTTCCTCAATTTCATGAACTGCAAGTATTCTAATCCAACATCACCCCAATCTCAGTGTAAACTAGTCTCCAAATGTGCCTGCACAAGACTGTCACCCCTGTCACCCGGCATTCACATTGCCTTAACCTCCTCAA